AGCAACAGAATTAAGCTCAGAACCAAGAGAAATTGCTGAAGTTGTGATTAAGAGGCAGAAATTCATTTTAAAATGAAGCAACACTGACACCTACTGGACAAGACGGCAAGGCGGTTGTCAGTATAGAATAGAATAGAATAGAATAGAATAGAATAGAATAGAATAGAATAGAACAGAATAGAATAGAATAGAAAATCCCTTTATTGTTACAATAGCAAAGGGTTATAGTAGAAGTCGTCACACAATGAGGACCTTAAAAGTGTATAAAAAATAACAGTATATGTATCAGAGTTAAGAAAATAAACAAATACAGTAAGTACTGTACTCTACACAGTTTTTTCTGATATTAATGCTCTGTATCTGGAAAGTGAATAATCAATAAATAAACAGCTGTGGACATTTTTACAGTAATGGATATGTGATAAATAGCAGCAACGTCAAATGTGCAAAATGACAGCAGCATGTTATTTAACGGACTAAGACAGAAACTGTGCAAAAGTCAGCATGAATGTAACAACTTATTGATGTTGTTGGGAACAGTACTTGTTCTAAAGTCTTACAGCTGCTAAGAGGTGACGTGATGACCCTCACTGGTGCATTTAGGGTGCAGCAATCTGTCACTGAAGGAGCTTTCCAGTTCTGCTTTCGATTCTTGGATTGGAAACAAAAAAATGTGAGAAAAATTGAATTAAAGATTTACTATGTAATTTGATTCATTTATTGAATGAAATTAGTTTTAAAGAAAACACAAAATAAACACAGCTCTGAGTATTAATGTTGTCTGGTTTAAAATGGCTTTTTCAAAGAGGGGGGAAATAGAGATTTGAAACAGAAAGAAACAAATAATTCTAGGAAGTATTAAAATAGGCAAACAGAAACAAAAGAACAACCTGCTAAAAAAAGCTTTTTCTTTTTTTTTACTTTATTTTTTTCATTACTGAAAGGGCTAGGGAAAAGTACCTGATACAAATGCATAAATTAAAGTAAAGTCAATATCATATAAATACAAATTTACAGTAAATGCTAAAAACAATTCTCAACTTAGCAAATCAGTGATTAGCATCCAGCATTTGGGAGAATTTTGGCTCACTTAGTTATCACGTGTTTGTGTGAGCAAGCATATTTACAAGAAAACATAGAAAACAAGTTAAATCGAAAAACATGTAAAATAAAGCATGATATCCTTTAATTGGTGAAAGAGCATTGAATGTGATTTCAATTTATGCCTAGAAAACTCAAATATGTCTGAATAGATAATGCTTAAAAATATCAAAATCTGATACCAACTAAATTATTGTCTTTGGTGATATTTGCAGGTTTTATTTTATTTTTTTCTTGCATTCATTTAATGGATTTACAGCTGATATTTAATTGAGATATATATTTGACTCTGGAAAAAAAAAACAGTAATGCACAAAAACATTTGAATCCAGACAAAAAATAGGCTATATCTAACCTTATGGAGCATGGTGAGTATTTGCTCATATACAGGCTCCTACAGTAACAGACACAACACATTTCTTGTATCAGATCTTAGCTTAAATGAGTTCAACAAATCCTGTTTGCGACCAGATTGGTTTACTGAGTTGAGAATTGATAACTACTCAGAAGAAAGGGGTTGAGGCAACTTGGATGCTAGATGCTGTTGGATTTTCTGGGAAAAATGAGGACGTGCCAGGAAATATAAAACATCTGTGGGCAGCAGGCAGAGTACAGGTGGAATGTACTTGAAGATTGGTAATCGAAATTTTGGTTTTGGTTTGTTAACACTTTAGTGCAAAGGTTAGTTCTACTCAGACCAGATATCTTTCTGCAAACTTGGGCTTTAGGAAAGAGTTCAATTTGGTGAAATGTTCTCCAGAGGAAGAGGAGAGGAAAACCAAGAAAAAATACTTGGCTTGATTCTTCCATTAAAGGTTTTATCAGCATCTGTTGAAAAATCTTCATAAACCCTTTCAGGCAGACGTTGATAATCGAGGTCCAAAAAGTAAAAACCCTTTCTAGTTTTCCTTCATCCTGTTCATTCAACCAGGTGATCAGCCCCTGTGTTTTTGTGGAGATAGAAATGCAAATGGTTGGGACTAATCTCTGTAGAGCTTTTTTTCCTTTCTGGGCCTTGATTATCCACCTATGCGTGCACGAAAAAAATTATTCTCTAAGGACACACTGCCTTGGCCCCTCCCATAGCTGCAAATCTGGCACTACAGACACATAGGCCCTGTTTAACCTGCAAGCAAATTTGACCCACATCTGACCTTTGGAGTCAAGTGGTCGGGTTAGGGTATTTAAAACAACCACACATTAATATATGGTCTTGAAGCTGACTTGCATCTGATCTTTAAGAGTTTAACTTTAGTGGGAACAACCAATAGATGTCAAATCTGTCGATGTTAGATGATGACCCAAGTACAGGGACAGAGGCAGCTGATGTTTTGGAGATTTATTGTTGGAAATGGCAAGAGCAGAACTAATCCAGAGTGAACAGGCACAGAAATCAGATAAAAGAACAACACAGGAGGTAATGAAGACAATCCAGCGAAGACACACTGCAGAGGAAGAGTATATATATATATATATATATATATATATATATATATATATATATATATATATATATATATATATATATATATATATATATATATATACTACTCAAAAAATTGAAGGAACGCTTTGTAATGAGAGTATAGCATCAAGTTAATTAAACTTCTGGGATATTGATTTGGTCAGGTAAGTAGCAGAGGGGGTTGTTAATCAGTTTCAACTGCTTTGGTGTTAATGAAATTAACAACAGGTGCACTAGAGGGGCAACAACGAGACAGCCATCAAAACAGAAAGGGTTTTACAGGTGGAGGCCATAAACATTTTTTCCCCTCCTGATCTTTTCTGACTCTTTTTCACCAGTTTTGCATTTGGCTAGGGTCACTGTCACTACTGTTAGCATGAGGTGCTACCTGGACCCTACAAAGGTTGCACAGACAATCCAACTCCTCCAGGATGGCACATCAATATGTGCCATTGCCAGAAGGTTTGCTGTGTCTCCCAGCACAATCTCAAGAGACCAGAGGAGATTCCAGGAGACAGGCAGTTACTCCAGGAGAGCTGGACAGGGCCGTAGAAGGTCTACAACCCATCAGAAGGACCGATATCTGCTCCTTTGTGCAAGGAGCACTGCCAGAGCCCTACAAAATGACCTACAGCAGGCCACTGGTATGAATGTCTCTTTTTTGAGCAGTGTACAATGAGGACGAAACTAACAGGACATTGAACGGAGTAATTATCTGAGTTGGAGCAGGTGTGCAGAGAAAAACTTAAAAAAAAAACGGAAGGAAGGTGACAATAGGGGGCAAAAGAGAGTGACAGGAAAATAAAAGGGCTGTGGCCAAAACACAGAACTATCGCACTTTTCTACTTGTTGTAGTAGCTCATGCTCCTCACGCTCATACTTGACAGGTTGTTGTTTTTCTTACTTTTTTCACCTTACCTGGAGTTGGAATGGTGTCTGAGTTGAGCCAGATGCCGATCACTTCCACAAAATCCATCTTGAATACAAAGCTTCAATTTGCTAGGTGCACAATATGGCGGCCACTAACTTCCAGTCACAGGGTGTGATGCTTGGGACTACCTGTTGCTTCCCGGTCCTGCCAATCAACTTGGAATGTTGTCAGAGAAAGCTAGCAGGTGGAGAGAAAATGTTTGTGCGGTGTCCAAAAAAAGAGATTTGGCAATCAATGGGTTGGAGGATCATAACTACATTGTGTCATACCGAAATATACGTGTTCTCCACGGTACGATTCATATGTCTTATATCTTTGATGCTACTGAAGTGCATCCAGTTGTGTCTACAGATGCGTCTGATGCTTGTGTTGCTGCTGTGTTCGATGGCAGGGTGGCTCTGTTATATTTGCTGTGATGTAAAAAGTAGTTTTAATATATTTTTATGCAAGAAAGTGCACCTAAAACATAATCTGTGCAGTCAGTTCATCAAGATTACGATCCTGCCTTTAAATATTTTGCTGTCGGAGCCGCGTAGACCCCCATATATTGGTGGTAGGCTGTCACTTGGAATCCACAGCAGCAGCCTCCTTAGGCCTCTTTAGGCCAGGTGGCCTATTTGGTTTTTTCCCTACTGTTTGTCGTGGCTGGAATGTATGTAATAAAAAGTGCAGGCACCAGAATAATAAAATCAAGCATATTTTGCTTCCAGGTTTCAACATGTTAAGTTAATTCAGACATTAATAAAATGTTTCAGAGGAGTGATCATAGCAATCTTAAGCAGGAGTGCTGTGTCTGTCTCCCTGCTAGCTCCCAGATCAGCTTCTAAGATTTGTTGATGTGGTGTGTCAAACAGTAAAAGTTCAATTTTCCCAACTTTTGCAGCTGCTCTTTGTGAAGCATATCACGCACCTCAGATTCTCAGAAGTTCATGAGGCCCTGCTTCAGCTGCTCAGATGCATCAAGATGTCTTTATGCGTGTCAGCCATTGACCATGATTATTGTGTTTCAGCAGTAACTGGGGAAAGAAAAAAAATGAGTCCCTGCAGTGATAAGTTGAGTTGGCTCACATTTAAATCGAGCCGCTGCAACTCAGGACGTGTTTTTATCTGGGGCGCTTTACCAGCTCAGATGACCAGATTCGCCACTATACCAGTTAAGCTTGTATTTTGTATTCTGTATTTAGCTAAAATAACAAGTGCATTTAGTATTCAAAGTTAAGTCAGTGTTTTCAACCAAAACTATGCATATCGAGCTCACAGCTAAGTTGCTCTTTGGGGGTGTGAGATTCATTCAAATCAAAGTTGTGTGGTGGGATAATAAAGCCCCAATCAAGCGAATAATGTTGTTAATAGATACTTTACGCAGGTCCTGAAGACAGCGGGTGTAAAACTGTGGTTATGGTTTTCAGCCAGTGAACAACACACATAAGATTGGTGAAGTACATGTACAGTGCATGGTGCAACCTTGTTGTAAAAAAAAAAAATGAAAAATAAGCAAGAAAGTGTTTTACAAATAGTAATATTTTATTGAGCAGAGAAAAAAAAATTCTGACATCCTTGAAAGTATTTATGTATTGTATCTGATTAGGTTCTATTAGATACAGGTAAACATTGTGATACCAGTGGAATGTCAAAGAAAAAAATGGATCCATAAACAAGGAAGAAAAATAATGAGTGTAAAGGTATGCATGGTTAAGGTTAAGAAATCTAACTAAAATCACCAATCTAATAATTCTCACCATAAACCATTGTCTATGTTCTTAGCTTCTTAGCCAGATACTAGATTTACAACAACTAAGTCTTCCATTTACATAACTCACTCTTCTGTCTGCAAATCCTAAAATCTTTAATCTTTCAATGTGAGTTCTGTCTGCTTTTTGATGTGATTGTATCTGGTCTCACCAAGCCAAGACTTGATTATGAGTTTCCTTAAAGTCAAATATGAAAGAAAACATTTTGAGGCATTTGAAAACAAGGATGCAGTGTGAGTTGGGACTTTCTGCTTAGATACTCTTCAGAGGAAAGTCGTTACTTGATCTCAATACTGTGGATGCGAGCTTCTCCATCAAAGCTGATGACTGAGTACTTCTCAGCACCCATGCGGTTGGGGAAGTTGATCGTTGAGCCATCTGATAAGGTCACAACAAACCCAGCTGAGGTGAATTCAATGATGATCTAAGTTTCAAAGGGAAAATAAAATAAAGGTTAGCATCAAAATTAAGTGAACAGATTTTTTTTTTTTTTTTTTTTGCAGCCATAATGCAAACCTTAAACTCCTCTCCCTGCTGGAAAGGAAAGCCTCCATCCCGAACCTCCTCACACCAGTTGCCTCCTTCATAAGAGTTGCAGACAACAGCATTCTCGTCTCCATGGGCGTTAAAACGAGCATTTATATGCATGGTGACGTCCTGCTCATCAGGACCGATATTCACGGCGAAACTACAGGTTCGGGAAAAAAAAAGGTATGCATGAAATTTTACCATCATAATAAGTTGTGTACATGAATATGTCTACTTTTGAGACTAAACTTTCATTTTTGAAAAAGCATACAGCCGAAGTCGCTTTGAACTTTTCTGAGTCAGGTCTTTAGTTATGCTGATATACAGTAGGCTTAGTGCAGAAGGATTAATCAACCGCTTTTCTCTTCCACCATTTCCATTGTGCTACTTTGAACATATGCAAACTTTAGCATAAATGCTGTCAGTAACATTTTTCCAGCTTATTTTTTTTTGTTAAATATAGTCCTGTTCCTATTCAAATTTGCATCTTTCCTAACGAAGCTATGAACAACTCTCTCATAAAACTTGATTTCTTTGCTTTGTATATCTTTTTAGGCACACTTTCAATAGAAAAGCCTGAGAGCAGGGCTTTTATTATAGATGCATTCTTCCTGGACAGATGCACTAACAGCACTATTGCCACTTTTTAATTTCTCTCCTTTCTGTAAGTTCAACAAAATGCAAAATGCTTGGGCCCTTTTGTATTTAACCTCGTCTTTGTGATCGACTGCACTAGTTTTTTTTATTTATTCTTTATATTAAAAATAAACTAGTGGCCTAGTGTTTAGGGCATATAGCTTGGAACCCTGAGGTTGTGAGTTTGAAACCTAGTCTCATGTACTGCCACTTTTGGTCCCCGGGCGCCCCACATTGGCAGCCCACTGCTCCCCAATGCAGAGGTAAATTGAGATCAATAAAGTTCAATTATTATTATGAATATATCCGTTTCCACAGCAACGATGGTTCCTTTTTCACTCTGTTTAGAGGCTTTATTAAGATAAGGGATTAATACATGGTCACTCATGATAGAGTTGCATTATCTTGTTACTTGTCAGATTATGATCAAATAAATCTGACAGTACTGTGCAAGCATTTTAATAGACTGTTTCTCATTAGATCGGAATCTTCTTAATAAACTGTAGCAGAATGAACCAGATTAAGTTAAATTGAATGTTAATAAGATTAAATAGTAGAAAAACTGGACATAAATCACTATGTTTTCCCTGAACAGAGCAAAACATTAAATTTGTTGTATTTATCAGAAAGGAGTATTTGTGTCTCTATATTTTCCCCTGATGTATCTGAAACAACAAGACCCAGAATCCAAGTGGATGGGAGTGATTGTGTAAGTCTCATAAGTCCATTTGTGGTGTGGTAGGCCTCATCTTTAAATGGGGTAACCTGGGATTGAATCCTAGTAGCAGTAGGGCATCCTAAGTAATATCTCTGCCAAGTCTATGTTCAAGTTGTCACTTGCCTAAAGGAGCATCTACCTCCCTCACTTCAGTCTTAAGACTTCATTGCAGTCGGGATAATCACATGATACTGCAACCTTTTAAAATCCCATGACAATAACTTTTTTTGCAAATGTTAAGCAAATTTTTAATGTTATCTGAATTTGATATTGATAACATGAGTCTTAGACACAGCAGCATTGGTAAATGTATTTAAATACTTACTTTGTAGAATCAGGTTTAGCTACTCCAACAATAGTCAACGTTTGTCCGACTTTGAAGGACATATTCTTGATGATCATTCCCTGTGCACAATTGGAAAGGAAGGGTAGTTAGACATTATTTTGTTCCATAGTAATACTGCACAGGCCTACGTTTCTGCCTCCACATATCTGAGGCAAAAAAGTAGGCCTGAGGTTGTTCCAATCCACCTCTCCACATGTGTCTTCAATTACAATCCCATCAACTGGCTGGACAAAGACTTCAATGTTCTTTGGCTTCACTGTTGCCAAGGAAAGTTTTGCATACTGCCAGCTCGGACAGAAACAGTAGATGCTGCAAATCAATAAGCCCTGACTGCTGTTATTCTCAGTTATACTTTCCTCTGGAGGAAACCGCAGTAGAATGCTAACTGCACAGTAGAACAAAAAACCAAATATACAATTTAGTTGTAGTTGTTGCGACTGGGATGAGCCACAATCAGGAACGTATACTTCTGTTGGTGTTTATTTACTCTGAGGTCTTTAAGATTTATCCACACGGAACTGACTTAAAGTATACCTTATAGGTAATATGTGATACATATAGCATGCCATTAAATATCCAGACATAGCTTTTCTAGTTGATTCTGTGGCGTTTCAGCTTAAAGGGAGGAATTTCTTTACAAGGAAAGATTGCTGAATCCAATGCAATCATAATATATTGCGTAAATTAGTTCCTCGTTATCTCAGAGTTAACATGTACAGTAATGAACTTAAAAGGATAACAACTAATCCTAAATACGAAAACAACATTTATTAGTAAACTGACTGGTCAAGAGGAGGCAAATTTGTATAGCAAGGGCTATACATTCTCTTAACATGACAGGGCCTCTGTTAGGCATGTGTCATAATTATCACAGAGGTTTGAATGATATGAGATTAGTTTTGGATAGGTATTAGACTGATGTCATCCCTCTGTAATCTGCAACCTGCTAGTGTTTAATACTTTATATGGCTTCATTAGTTTCAGAAATTACACAAGAAGAAGATGTGACTGCAAATGCAAAACTTTTAACATATTTAGGGGGACAAATAATTAAGGGTTTCACTTTAGAAACTCTTTAATTCCACTACAAAAGAAAAGCTATATAGTGCCCTACATATATCATATATCACATAATATTACAGCCATAAACTTAAGTTTTATGGATCAGAAGTAGGAAATAGTTTTATAAGTTAAAGGAAACAGTAGATGACTTTCAGTGTTTCACTAAAACAATTCTGAAAAGTGTAAAAGGCCATTGTCGTTGAACATTTTCCTCCATGATTATTATTATTTTATCAAGTTTTGCTCAAAAGGTTTTTGCATTATCAATATTTTGTCTTATGCCAAAGTGCATGCTGCCCTTTGGCATCTTTTTAAATCTTTCTCAACTGATTGTGTTTAATAAATTTTAGTCAGAGGATAATTACAATCTACTTCTACCAAGGCCAGCTGATGTTGATAATGGACTGGTTTAGGCTAGAAACAGCTTACTGTCTCTAGAGCGTATGTACCTCTACTCTGTGGTGTATTAATTTATGTTCACACCCTCCTTTGATGTTTTTTGCTTTTGCGAACAGGATCTGACCTGCCAGAATGAATCTGTGATGCAGCTGAAGGACACTTGGTCAGCCTGAAGACTGCTTTAGTACACCTATGTTGAAACAAGGAGAGTCCTGATACCTCATGACTTCCACCCAATCCGATCTGAACCGAAATAATAGGTGTTACAGATTCTCTGAACCCTTTTAAGGCTCATTAACCATTATCTCCTAACGCTTATTTTATTTTGCAGGGTTTGTGGAGTGGGAGCATCAGCCTTACCATGTTAGAAAGGGACAGTGGGCTATTGTTGGTCTATTTGCAACAATATGACCAAGTAGGATTAGGTCTGTTGGTAATAATAGGACTGTAAGTTATGCAAAAAAGGCGATGGAAAAATAAGTCATGTAAATATGCCAGTAGCCACACTGGAAAAACGATCTAGAAATAAGTAAAAATATCCTAAATATAGTGTATTTATCCTTTATTTGAGTAGGTAAATGTGATGGTTTGCCAATGGAATGATTATTTGTACTCTTAAAATTAGATAATTAGATATTATGCACTTGGAATAAGACAATACAATTGTTTTTTCTTATTTTAAGTGTAAATTGTCCTGTTCCATTGGCAAAATGTCTCTTTTACCTCCTAAGTCCAAGAAAAATTCACTTATTTTAAGAAAAAATTACTTATCTAGATTTCAATTTTTTTCCAGTGCAAAATTCCGATCAAATTTAGCAGGGTTGTTAAAAAAATTGTAATCTGACTGAATCGGGTGGTATATGCCAGGGGACATCCAATAGGCATGCAACACTTGTAAGGATCGAGTTATTCTGGGTGAGGAAAGCTGACCTAAGTCTGCATGTATGCTCCATGTGCGCTTTGAGAGGCTGCATTCTATTGAGAATTATCCATCTGGTATGTTTACGTGACATATTTTTAGGTTGATCTGACATTTTATTTCAATTATTTATGTCAACATACATTGCAGTCTTATTTAGTTTTGAGTCTGTATCATCATCATTATCGCTAACTTAATTTATAAAGCAGTTCAACAACAGCCAAAGCTGAAACAAAGAGCTGTAGATCAAAGATAAAAGAACAATGAAATAGAGAAACCTTACAATCAGTTGATAAGCTAAACATACATATGTACATACGTAGAATAAAATAATCAAATATGACAGCAACAAATAGATGAAATTAATAAAAGGTGATATAAGAGAAATTAAAAGAAAAATAAAGTAAAATCAAGTCTGGGGTTGGGTTGAAAGCCAATTTGTAAAGATGTTTTAAAGTTTTTAGATGGGTTTTAAAAATGGATTGTGAAGAACACAATAAATGCAGTTTATTTTGGCAGCTAACGACTGATTTTCAATTCCATGTCACAGTTAGGACAGAAGCCTCATTCTGCCAACATAAAGTCCTGATGAAAATATATTAAAATCTGAGGCTATAATGTCACAGTATGGACAAAAATAAGTTTTAAATATCACGTACCCAAGTACCAGTAAGCATACATTTTTGATATGATTTTCTTTAATATTATTTTATCCAGATCATCACCAAAATAATCAATAATGAAAAGGCCTTCTTTTATATCTGCTTATTCAGAAGACACCTGAGTTAATAAAAAGGTTAATGCTATTAAAACTATTTTATCATTAAGTATGTCATACCACCATATATTGCATCATCATTATCATTATTAGAGGAACTCTATGAGAATATTAACACCAGACTTTTTTTTTAAGGTGTAATTGCATAGCAGGATCCCTAATTTGGTTGCAGGGACTGAAGTGAATATTTTGCCCATAAAAGGTAGATAAAGAGAAACCACCATCGTTCAAAAGGTGAATGCAGTAGAAGATTCAATGCAAGGATCAATCGTTAGATTATAGATTTGCAAGACTCAGTTACATGAGCTGACAAAAAAAGGCAAACATCAGCTAATATGCCATTAACATCACTTAAGACTGCAGCACTTATTAAGTACAGCTGTGTTACAGTTGCATGAGTTCACAAATGTTGGTAAAATATACTTACTTTCATCATCTTTGCAGATAAAGTCAGTCAGATAGAGCTGAGAAAAAGGGAGAGTGCTGCAGGGCAGTGGCTCAGCGTCTCTGCACTCAGACAGATGACTATGTACAATGCAGAGTGGGAGGTCCCTCCCACTGAGTGACGCCCTGCTCAGAATACACACTGCTGCCCCTGGTCACCAGCAGGCCTGCTTAACCTTCAAAATAGCAGTTTAAAGATTACTGCAAGCCTGAGTAAAGTTCAGTAAATTGATAGATAAGCTGCTGATTTTAAGTTAGTACTTTAAAAGTGGTGGAGTTCAGAATGCCTGTGTAAGAGGGAACACTGCCCAGTCATGGACAAAAATAGAAATGCATTTGTCACCAGGGAGACTGCTAAATATTTAGAACAAGCAGCTGCCTTGATAATCACTAACTTACAGTATGATCACATGGCAAGTAGAATTTCCAAAAAAGTTTTTTTTTCTATTCCTTCACAGAAAAGTAAGAGGGAGTTTGCATAAATGAGTTGCAAGCGGCTGTATGCATTTTCAGCTGAATGACTTAAACTGCCATCATTACTCCAACATGGCAAAAGACACACATGGCTCACAGAATATTACAACCTGACATTTTCCTGTTAATATGAAGAAAAGAAGAAACTTGTGAAATTAAGCATTTTCTTCTTCTTATGCAACTCACCCACCCCACATTTTCCTGTTCCAAGTCTTAACAGAAGGTTGGGCTTATCTGTAAAATAGTCATGTGCCTTATGTGCAAAAACATTCATTCTATTTCTTCATTCTAACATTCATTCTAAGCAGCTGTTCCAAACGCTGCAGGTCCGAATCCTCCTGAGTGATGCCCGACTTTACACGAGTGAATAAAGTGAATATGATTGGTTAATTATCAAGGTGGCAGGATTGTTGTGTCGGAAGGTTCGCAAGCATGCACCTACGATGACACTTTAAGACCCCCCCACACACCCCCACCCCCCGCATGATTTCTAAGTAGAAGAACTCGCAACATAACAGGGTGTTCAAATACTTATTTTCCTCACTGTATATATCATAAGTTAACAGATGAGATGCACAAGTGTAAAGAAAAAAACATCTTTTTTATACAAACTTTTAAAAGACATGTATTGGACAAAAGGCATTGCCTCTATATTGATTCATGTACATTATATGAAAGCCAAAGATTTGTGTACAATAATATTGCAGTAACATTTAAAAAGAGATCAATTATATTCCGTTATTGTCCTTATTTTAATGCTGAACTTTTGAAATAAACAGTTGATTCCAGCTGAACATAAAAATTCTCTCCAATTATCTTTTCGTTTTCTATTTTAATGCAGCAACTGCATCCATAACTGGAAAAAAGGTAACAGAGACTGAAGATTTGTTGAAAACAATTTTATTTTTCTGAAGCCAGATTTGAATGATATCTATATCTGCTTCCAACAAGTTATACATTTATGTATAACTTATGATTCCATTATAAGCATTGAAAGCCAGCAGCAGTTGCAGAAAACATTTGGCAATATGTGTATGAGGTCAGCATTTCTAACTGACTTATGGTTTACTTGACCTCAATGCTAATAATGTGAGCGTCCTCCGTAAAGCTGAAAAAGGTGTACTTGTTTGCACCCAGATGGTTTGGGAAGTTGATTGTAGAACTGTCGCATAGTTTCATCATGAACCCCGTCTGTGTGAACTGAATGACGATCTGAGGTAGTGAGAAGAGCAGTAATATAAAAATAAAAATTTGGGATCACAGTAAGAATTTTACATAAAATGACAAGCCTCTCACACCTTGAATTCTTTTCCCTGCTGGAAAGGGAAGCACTCATGATTCTGCTCATCACTCCAAGTGCCGTCACGGTAACAGTTGCAGACAATGGCATTTCTCTTTCCTTCCCAGTTAAAACGAGGGTTGAGGTGGATAGCCAAGTTCTCTGCATCCAGCCCTATGTTAACTGCAAAGCTATAGAGAAAAACATAGACAGTAAAAAATAAATAAATAAATCACCACAAAAAACAAAGAAAGTCATATTTCGTGCATTAAAAGTAAAATGGTCACTTCTTCATGCTTAGAAACAACATTCCACGTCTGACTCAAGATGATCATTGGCCAGCATTTATATAGTGCCTTTTTTAAGTCAGGGGACACTAAAGCACTTCACACTATATTCGGTCCTTCACTCACACATACACACTATTGGTCGCAAGTTACTGGAGCCTCGGGGTCCACTGCCATACAGAGGTACAATCAGTAGGAAATGCAGGAGAAGTGTCACAACGACACAGAGCCGGTGCTGAGGTTAGACCCCGGTAAGCTCCTGCATTCAGCACCCTGATATCTACAGTGATGTCACTAATTCTCCTGATCTGCTGCTAAGGATGAGAAAAATGTAAGAATTAAAAAATAATTAAATTCAATCTTTCCAGTTATTTCTTCATTCATGCTCTTTGATGTTAATTTAGAAGAAAAAATAGCAAAAAAAGGAGAGAGCTTAAGGAGAAAATGTGCAGACTTGATGATCGAAGAGTCAAAGAAAACTTTACTTACGTTCCGGCGTCAGGTTTGCAGACACCGGTAACAGTCATGGTTTGTCCAACTTTAAAAGACATGTTCCTTACTTCCATACCCTATGAAAATGGAGATATGTCAATTATGGGGATGATCACAATCCTACTTCATAATGTGGCATTACAAATTCAACTTAAGGTAGCATCACATAAACACTTCAATATCCTTTCTCTTTTTAATCAGAAAAGCCTTAAGTGTTACTAAAATTAACACTTTTTGGGAACTAATGCAACTGTTTGCCTTAAAAAAAATCTGCCATAGCAATACATTTCTAATTCAAAACATGACTAAACAATGAATTTAATAAATTAAATTAACCATTTTTAAGAATACTCACCTTACTCATCTTTGCAGATGCGGAATATAAAACCAGATAGTACTGTGAAGAACTGAGTACTGTGCACAGCTATTGTGTTTCTGCCTCAGCTTCTCCAGGTAAATATACAGTAGAGTATGGGAGGAGCCAATAAACTGGTTAGCAACCTGGCGACCAGTATCACAACAACAATGGCGCCGTTGCTGCTCATGCTACTCACCCTGCTGTCGGGCTTACAACAGAATCTTCTTCTTCTGGAATATCTCCAGGAAGAACAGAGCAATATCGACGACATACACTATATTGCCAAAAGTATTTGCTCACCTGCCTTGACTCACATATGAGCTTAAGTGACATCCCGTTCCTAATCCATAGGGTTCAATATGACGTCGGTCCACCCTTTGCAGCTAGAACAGCTTCAACTCTTCTGGGAAGGCTGTCCACAAGGTTTAGGAGTGTGTTTATGGGAATTTTTGACCATTCTTCCAGAAGCGCATTTGTGAGGTCGCACACTGATGTTGGACGAGAAGGCCTGGCTCTCAGTCTCCGCTCTAATTCATCCCAAAGGTGTTCTATCGGGTTGAGGTCAGGACTCTGTGCAGGCCAGTCAAGTTCATCCACACCAGACTCTGTCATCCATGTCTTTATGGACCTTGCTTTGTGCACTGGTGCACAGTCATGTTGGAAGAGGAAGGGGCCAGCTCCAAACTGTTCCCACAAAGTTGGCAGCATGGAATTGTCCAAAATGTCTTGGTATGCTGAAGCATTCAGAGTTCCTTTCACTGGAACTAAGGGGCCAAGCCCAGCTCCTGAAAAACAACCCCACACCATAATCCCCCCTCCACCAAACTTTACACTTGGCACAATGCAGTCAGACAAGTACCGTTCTCCTGGCAACCGCCAAACCCAGACCCGTCCATCAGATTGCCAGATGGAGAAGCGCGATTCGTCACTCCAGAGAACGCGTCTCCACTGCTCTAGAGTCCAGTGGCGGCGTGCTTTACACCACCGCATCCGACGCTTTGCATTGCACTTGGTGATGTATGGCTTGGATGCAGCTGCTCGACCATGGAAACCCATTCCATGAAGCTCTCTGCGCACTGTTCTTGAGCTAATCTGAAGGCCACATGAAGTTTGGAGGTCTGTAGTGATTGACTCTGCAGAAAGTTGGCGACCTCTTCGCACTATGCGCGTCAGCATCCGCTGACCCTGCTCCGTCAGTTTACGTGGCCTACCACTTCGTGGCTGAGTTGCTGTCGTTCCCAAACACTTCCATTTTCTTATAATACAGCTGACAGTTGACTGTGGAATATTTAGGAGCGAGGAAATTTCACGACTGGATTTGTTGCACAGGTGGCATCCTATCACAGTTCCACGCTGGAATTCACTGAGCTCCTGAGAGCGACCCATTCTTTCACAAATGTTTGTAAAAACAGTCTGCATGCCTAGGTGCTTGAATTTATACACCTGTGGCCATGGAAGTGATTGGAACACCTGATTCCAATAATTTGGATGGGTGAGCAAATACTTTTGGCAATATAGTGTAGTTCAGCACCTGAATTTGACTTAACCACGAAAATGGACCCGCAGGGCAACCATGTATAAATATTAGTGCGCATGCCCAACATTTCGTCGCTTATTTTTGCTTTGGCACCACAGCGCCACTTACAGGCCTGGCATACATTTTGCAACGTTTTCATGCATTCGTGTGGACGCTCACATTTATTTTACGTCTCCGTCTTTACGGCAAACGTTTTGGAAAATATCAGCGTTTCGTGTTCGTTTTGACTTCGTGTGGACGGGGCCTTAGACATTTTTCACATTTATTGCTTCACATGTTATTCCAATAAGGTCGGGCTTATTTTTTGCATTACACAAAATAGGCTTTTAGAAATAATCTGAAGTTTATGTACTCCCAAATAATTTTATTAAGATTAGTCCTAAATCTACAGTTTCAAAAACCTATAGGATTTGCAGATCATAATTTAATCTCTATTTCTTCGGTATAATTTGAGAGGACTTTTCTCTGGGCTGAGAAAGACAGACAGATAGACAGACAGACAGACAGAGCTTTATTTCATGGGTTTAAAAATTTAATTATCCTGTGACCCTTGACTGATTCAAAATGCAGTTTCTTTTCTTGTGAACTATTTTCTTTACTTAATGGCAATAAGTATTAAATAAATTGGTTTTATTGAATCTCTTTCAATAAAGATCCACAAAACATTCTATGATGCATTTAGATGTAAAATGTGATGCCTGTTTGCTTTAAAAAAAAACACTGAAAGCAACGGCAAAAAATTTGTCCTTTTTTTTCTACAGATTTTCTTGGCTTTTGAAAATACCTTACAACAAAACTTAGCATCCAAAATACTTTTGATGACAATGGTCCATGCTTCGAAGTTAAGCTAAGTACATTTTGAAGAATTTCAGAACAGTTGTGCAGTTTGTAGCACTGTTTCCTTGCAGTAAGCAGGTTCCAGGTTTGATTCCTGGCCAGGGGTCTTGCTGTATGGAGTTTGCTTGTTCTCTCTGTGCATACATGGATTCTCTCTGGGTACTCTGGCTTCCTCCTAAAGTCCAAAAACATGACTGTTGGATTTATTTGCATCTCTAAATTGTCCTTAGGCATGAGTGTGTGTGCATGGTTGTACGGCTGTGTGGCCCTCCAACAGACTGGCGACCTGTCCAGGGTATACCCCGCCTCTCACCCATAGACTGCCAGAGAAACACAGAGAGCTTGAATTAATAAGCAAAAAAAGATGGATGGATTAGATTTCAGCAAGATATATATGACCTGATATGAAAGCCTGCATGTGTAGATATGGATCTCTAAAAAATTTTCACATACCAATGGTTTGTTGAGTCTGGAAGATAGGGTTTTTTGAAAGATTTTCAAATGTTATCTGATTCCACTATTGTACACACAGTTTTTTGTTGTCCTGACATATGGGGACATTTCATTTACATCGATTAATTTAGCCTTAACCTAAAGTGAATGACCTTAGCCCTAAACCTAACCCCGACTTAAAGAAGAGGACTTAAACAACTGGGAACCAGTTGACTGATCCCATATTTGAAAAAAATTTTAAGTCATTAGTTATAGCAACATTTTAACCTACCAGTGAAATTAATTTCTCATATTGAAGGAACAACCCTACTACAAATTGTGGAAAGATGGATCTGATAGTGGAAATGACTACATGAAATAATTTTTAACAAGAGCTTAGAATTGAGGTTTTGTCTGCGTGAATATCTCAGAAGTACAGTACCATGATAAAAGTGTTGGCCCCTTTACATACTTCTGTTTTCTTCTTTTAGTCAAAGTTTGTTGTTTAAGATAATAAAATTACTTATGTTCAATCCAAGAGACCTTACATAAAACAAGGGCAATGACGTTTTGAATAGGTTTCATCTTCAGACAAGTTTAATGTATTTAATCATTTAAATTATCCTGTTAACCTTGGCTGGGAAAGTCCTTGAGAAAGTCCTTATTTGTAATGCATTTGCTTTACTAAATGACAATAAATGTCAAATAAATTGATGGAATTAATAGTATTTTATAAAACATACTTGGATGCATTTAGAGAATGCATTTAAAGAAAATATATGACCTGACATGAAAGCCTGCATGTGTAGATATAGATGTCTAAAAAAAATATTTATATACAAATGATTTGTTGAGTCTGGAAGTCTAGAGTCTGGAAGATAGGGTTCTTTAAATAGATTTTTAAACTGTATCTTATCTCATTGATCATAATGCAGACACACGCAAGCATTCTTATCTTGGTATGACAACCGTGTGTTGTTTGACTGTAGTCATATATATGACAGACAATGCAGTGAATCTGGAGACAAAGAAAATGCAGTCCCATGTTGGAAAGAAATAATTGTTGAGTGGTTATTTATCTGGTTTATCCCAGTGATGTTCTAACTTATGGGTAAAATTAACTGCTCATATTTAAGGAAAATCCCTGTCATACTGTGGCAAGATGGATCTTATTATGGATTTATCCACATGAAATAACCATAAAAAATAACCTAAAATTGAGGTTCTTTCAGTGGGAAAATTTCAGCAGTACAATTCTATGATGTAAGTATTGGTAAGTAATGCCTTTAAAGTGACAAATGTTGACATAAGCACATAGAAAAAGGTCCACACGTGAGTTGGAGGGAGGCTGTGTGCTGGTGACGTTCACCTGCCTATATGAACTCTCTAAACACCTGAGCATGCTTCTGATGAGGTGGCAGATTTTGTCCTGAGGGATTTCTTCCCAGACCTGGACTAAAGATTCCACCACCTGCTGGACAGTCTGTGATGGATCATGACACCAGATGTACTCAATGCGATTCAGGTCTAGGGAACAGGCGGGCCCAATCTGACAAAAAATGTAATGACGCTTTGCTAGCCATTAAAGATTAAATATCTATCTCACACATCTAGAAAATATATATTAATATATTTTGAAATATTTCAAATGTTAATTAAAATTAAATAAAAAAAAAAGAAAAGATGTCTTAATCAGGGTCATTAGGTGGGTGGGGCGACACCCTAGCGCCCTCTACTGGCCAACCGCAAATGCGCTAAGCTATCCCTATTCTTTCTCTCTCTCCTCTCATGCTTGCAGGTTTACAGTTACCTTGACAATAAAAGCCTTTCACCCTCACCTCACCACTTGGTTCCATATCCATTTTAATGCTGTCACATCAAATGTATTCTGTTTTATTGGTAATTGTCCATTGTTGGATAAAGTAAAACTTAACTGATCTGAATCTTGCAGATCCTGCACATCTGCTGTTTTACATTACCTTCACTGTTAACCCAATGGATAGCTTTCAATGTATTAGTGAAGCCAACCTAATTAATGGAATACTATCAAATATTGTATCTCGCTGACTCATTGATTTTTCTATTTTACACTGGTTCTTTCATGTATCCAGTGTTTATTTCAGTAGGTTGTAGGGTTCCTGTAGTTTATTAAGCAGAGTATTAGGTTAATAAAGAGCCCCTAGCTAAACTGTGGTATTCTTCGATCATTTTTATAACAGCGACCAATTGTCTCCAAGAGCTGAAATATCACCATTTTGTGTTAACAACCTCAACAGCTAAAATACTTCCCATGTGTTTAATGATTAATAACTCTGCTTGAAA